CGCTGTGCCCGCCGGCGCGCCTGCCCGGGTAAGAGCGAGCTCGCGGGTCCTTTCCCGGGCCAGGGCTGGGCTGGGGGTATCCGCAGAGCGGAGGTGACCTTGCTCTCCCTGGGACGTGCCGCGCTGCCTTTAGTACCCGCACATCCTTCTGGTAGAGACTGGCCGTGCCACAACCCTGGATCCAGACACCCAAACTTTGGCAAGGCTCCGCATCCAAATCGGGGTCTGGCTTATGGGAGCGACCTCCTCCTGGAATGGGCCACAGGGAAACTGCAAATCACCGCAGAGCGGAGGTGACCTTGCTCTCCCTGGGACGTGCCGCGCTGCCTTTAGTACCCGCACATCCTTCTGGTAGAGACTGGCCGTGCCACAACCCTGGATCCAGACACCCAAACTTTGGCAAGGCTCCGCATCCAAATCGGGGTCTGGCTTATGGGAGCGACCTCCTCCTGGAATGGGCCACAGGGAAACTGCAAATCAGAATGTGCTCCCCGTGTGCTGGGAGCAAAGCCCCCCAGATTGGCATTTTCCCCTTAGGATCTAGGTCTAGCTCTCTCAGACTGTAGCAGCTCAATAACTGTGCTAGGCTCTCAAATCTTGTTACCAAAATTCACTAACTCCTCTTAAGGCTGGAGCTGTGAAGCTGTTTTTCCTGTTTTACAGATGGGGCAGACAAGGTGAAATGACTTGCCCAAGGATGCACAGTGAATCGTTGGCAGAGCTGGGGATAGGACCAAGGTGTCCTAGCTTCCAATCTTCTCTTAACTGCTAGGCAACACTTCCCCCTTAACTGCAAGGCACAGTTGAGAGAGACTACAGCCCTTTGGCAAAGATGCTCTGACACAGAGGGTATTCTACACTGCAAGGAAAAAAATCTACAACACTGAGTCTCAGACCCCAGGCCAATTGGCTTCTAGGGGTTGGGCTGCAGAGGCAAAAATCATCCGTGTCAATATTTGGGCTTAGGCTAGAGCTAGCCTCTGAGAGCCTCTTCCACCCTTGAGTTTCAGAGCAGGAACATCTACACTCAAGTGACTCTTGATAGCATTCCAGAGGTGCAGTGCCCTCACCCCTGGTGCCCCTGCCAAAATTTTAAATGCAAAATGGGATGCTCCCTTCTCTGCAGACATCAGTCACCCCTGTCTACGCTGTTGTTCTTACCCATATCCCATGAGCCCAAATCCATTCAAGCAGGGTCTGAGACTCAGTGCTGTGGGTCTGTTATTGCAGTGTTACAATACCTGGAGAAATTCCAAAGACCTCACATGCAGATACCTTTGTATTGGGTCCACATCCTTATTTGAACAGGCCATGGAGAGAGAGTGTCCCTTGAAAGGGGGATAGGGAGATGTTATGGGGAAGAAAAACATCTAGCCCTTTTCATCTCTGCTGTTGAACAGGTGTTTCCATTCAAGTTTGATGGCTCTTAGGAGTGATATTGTATGGCAGGGAGCCTCTCAAGTGAGGATGGAAAGGATTGGGCTCTTTTGCCTCGCCCTGCCAATCACTCTGTCTAACCAGGAGGTGGGAAAGCAATGTTAGCAGCAAACGTATGAATTGGGGGAGGGAATCCTCTGGCTGGTGCAAGTGTGGGAAGTGGCAGCTGTTCCCTGAGTTAACTCGCTCTCCCTAGAAGGGGCTAGTCTTTGGTGAGTGCAAGGGGCAGCAGGGACAGATCCTCTGAGCAGCAGAGTTGGCAGGGCCAAACTGACCAAGCTTGTACGCATCTCTGCAGTAGTGTGACTGAGGAGAAATCTACAGCTGGCAACATGCAGCTTCTGCAGGCATTTCCTGCCCTGTGGTAGGAAAGAGGCCCGTGTGTACAGAAATACGGCTGCTTCCTATGAGAGCCTGGCTCCACATCCACTTGGGTTCTAATCCTGTTTGGTTCCAATGGTCAAAATGGCTCTGGAGGCCTGTACCTTGTTTCCACTGGTCTTCAAGTAGTGTGCCTGTGAGAGGCCATAGGGCAGGTGGATGTTACAAGTCAGACAGGTGCATTGAAAGCAGCACGGTGTTCCAGCAGAGGCGAAGCAATTGTAATTCAGGAGATAGGTGCACTGACAGGGGGAGGCAGGCTTGCAGCAGCAGGGGAGATTAC